CGGAGGGACCCCGCCTCCGCAACACCAGGCTCAAGTTCGTTCCTCTTTGATGGTACGAGGGAAGAACGAGAGCCTGTAAAGTTGTTCCACTCGCGATGGTCTGCAGCTTAGAGCGTGGTTGGTGCGGCGGGAGCATCGAGCCGCCGGGACAACTCTAGACGCGTGCGGCACAGAAATAATATTGTTGGTTATCTTGTACAATGTGGCAAGTCTGGCGTTCTTCCCGCATCCGTATAAAGTCTGTGCGATCCCGCGTTAGTTTGGTGGGTTTATGGTATAGGGAAATATTGGATCTTAGCTAATTTAGCAACTACCTCTACAATATCCATTTGGAAACTTTGAGTCAATGCCGGCAGCTTTCTTAAACATCCAAATGTCATGTATTAGCATAATATATGAATAGCTTTAAGTAACTTACACATGTCAAAAGGCCTAAAATTTCCATTAATCACTTTTAAGAAATCACAGAATTAACGCTTCATCTGCATAATTTGCATTTAATGGTTCCGGGTTGGAATTAAATCTGACCGGAGACTAAATAGTGCGCAGCAAATTGTTGGAAGTTTGGCACCCCAGTGCTCGGTGATTATTAGATTTTAAAATAGTTTCTGAATTGACAAATAAAGCTTGGGGTTGTGGTGTTTTTCGGCGTGGTGAAGTTGGTCGGCCAGCAAAGCGATTTTTGGTATTTGTCAGCGAGCAAGGGTGATGCGGTTTGTCGCTATTTTTGTGACCAAATAGCTGCGTTCTATGTTGAATTTCGAGGCATTTGTGTCACCGGAGATTGCGTTTTGAAAAAAAGTTGTTGTGAATATAAAATGACGCACAAAATACAAATTAAATGACAAAATAGATTCTATGAAATCTGACATAGAACGGATGGGAGACGTTTGAGTTCACTCGATGAGAATTTTGTAGAGGAGGGTCGCCTCATTTCAGAACTATAAGCTAAAATTTCGGCACTAGAATCGCGACAATTCCACGCTGACCACTATTCGCCCCAAAACTGCCTACGCATCTGGGGACTCTGAGAATAAGGATCTCCCGGGAAAGATTTTGCTGAATCAACTCTGAACAGGGGTCACATTTTGAAGGGGCTTATGCACGATGTTCCCACGTATTCATTCCTGGGTATCAAGAACTTTTACAAGATCTTGTGGAGCATGGCCTAGTCACTATAGACACCACAGCCACCTTGTCCGAAGTGCATAAGCTAAAGGAGGACCATCTGCGGCGACCTCCTCGCACCCACAACAGCACAGTCGCTAACATTGCGCAGGCAGACCATGGGTCAGAAATACCCGCGGAGAGAGCCGGAGGCCCCAGAAGTACCTGTTGCTACAGGTTCCAGGTTGACGACTGCCCCTTTTCCACCGATCACATAGCAGCTTCAGGCATCGTACAAATGCACGCCTGCAAGTTTTGCACTGCAGACACAGACCAGGCATGGACGCTGGACATCCTGCCTAGTTCTGCCCCTTCAACAGGGACAGTGGAGGACAAGGAAGCCGCTTGCCAGCCCTTCCTGACTAGGCCCGGCTTTTAGCACTGGACTGACCGACACTACTAAGACTTTCACCAACCACACGATCAGCAAGTATTTCCTGGCTTCACACCGGCAGTCCCCAGCTCACGCCTGTTTCACAATGGAACATTTAGTTCGAACGCGCCGCTCTGGGCCTAGCTCATTTGCATATATGGGACATACCATGCTCCCGGTACCGCTCACATGTACCATTATTGCGCAACACGGCACCCTACCTTTGACCCAGCTCATGCGCACTAACTACAGGCGCTACATTGCTGAAACTTCGTAGGCATAATGGCGACGGTTTTAGGGGAAGTTAGCTGCCGAAAATCGCGAAAATACAGCCACTTTTTCATCATAATCGAGTTTTTCACCGACAGAGAGTGGGTTGCCGAGTTCTTGACGAACTGACGGAGTGAGGTAAGATATCTTGCTCGTTTGAACGCTTTATACAGTTTTTTTTTGATGCACGCAGAATGCAACATGTAGCTCATGACATGTGCACTGTGTCAGTAATGGCGGATTTTTTGGCAAGGTTTTTTTCTTCGTACAGTAGTAAATCTACGAGATGGTGTTTTGTTCTCCGCGGTGACGTCATATGTTCGAAACAATTTCCTACTGTCTAATCTTGTGTCGTTATTTAGACGAGCGAAACGGGGAAACACAGTGCACGGGCAGGTCGTTGATCGGTCTGACTTGGGGGTGAAATGGGTCGTTGGTCGTGTTGAATGGATAGGCTGAAATCGGTAGTGTTTTGGTCGTACATTTTGCCCATTGCTTTCTGATGGACGTAAACTGGACTGGTATTAGTCGTATATAGTCAATATCCAGACCAGTTCACGACTATATCCATCGCGTCGACTGATTCACGACTGAGTAACGACTAGAAAGTCTGAATACGGTCGTTTCATGTCCACCACTTAAACACGACTATAGTTGTCGTGACAACAATTAACGTTGCCAAGACTACAGCAACAACAATAACATTCGGCCGCCATCTTTACCCCGGTGTGTACTGGGATTGCGACGCATATCACCGTGGTGACGGTTTCCTTGGCTGCCAAAATGATTGACAGCTAAGCGCACCACGTGCATCAGCCTTCGTAACAACTCCGGGGAGTGACGCATGTCACCTTGGTGACGGCTTCCAGAATGATTGACATGTCAGGGCATCACGTGATTGGCGGCTCGGAGGCCGCGCTTTTTACCGTGGTGAGGACCTACATCGGACCAAATAATAAGTTCGCGTTTGTTCCTATGTTTACAGCTATATGTGTAATATTTTCTATGTCATGAAACCCCATTTCATATTGTGCTTTTTTGGGGAATGTCAGAAATAGTCGGGCCGGCCACAAGTCATAAAAATTAAAACCCAGGACTGCGTTAGTACCGTCGGTGTCCACAAATCCTTTAATAGGAAACTGCTAAAAGAAACAAACTTTAAGAGAAATGACAAGTAAACACATTCTCCTTCACACTTTAATTTTTAGCATCAAAAATAGAGTAACGTTGACATTTTTCCAATAATGACTACTGTCTTTAGTTTTCAACAAACTGTGTATAACCAAGGACGTCCTTGGTATAACTAATAAAAGATATGACATAGCGCAAAACGTAACATACAATTAACATAATGACATACATAACAGGACGATACAAATGACTTACATAATACATGAAGACGAAATTTTACATATGACAGACATCATACAAGAAACATATATATACAAGAAACATGTAGTTAGTAACGTATAAACATAATGACAGACGTAATACAAG